AACAAGTGCTCTTAAATGCTGAGCCCTTTCAGCCCTTATTCATGAGTGTTAAAAAGACTTCATCTGAAAAGAAAAACAAATTTGTAAGCCTTGACATATGCATTTGTCAAACTAGGATTAGAAGCAGTGAGTTTCAGGGTTTCAGTGACTCAAAACCAACTCTGTAGCAGGCCATAAAGCTCTTGGCTATATACTGAGTTTGAGGCCACCCTGGGATACCCAAGACCCGGTCCCTAAATAAGTCTGAGTCCTGGAACAACAAAATGTCTTACTAACAGAGAGTCATGGGGAATTGAACAGTCTCAAAAAGCAGCTAGATGGGAGCTCAAGCAGGCTGCAGCTGAGTCTTGGCAGCTGCCCCTCTGCATCCTTGAGTCTACAGAGTGAGGTCTAGGACAGGCTCCAAAGCTACAGAGAAACCCTGTCTCAAAAAGAAAAAATGATATAAATCTTTATGTTTTTGAAATTGAGAATGTAACAAAGGAACAGAGGGGCTGAGGATGTGCTCAGGTTGTAGAGTATTAGCTGATACACCTTTTTCAGATAGTACCTCGTCTCCCCGCTGATGCAGGAAGCCAGATCAAACCAAATTACAAGTATAGCAACAGGTTTATTGAGAACAAAATAACTCCCTCCCGGGCAGGTTAACTGGTCAACTGCTCTCAGAGAATGAGGCCAGAGACACCCCCCCCCCAAAAAAAAATTGAACTAAGGCAGGGAGGTTTTAGATTTTTAGATCTTAGGTGAGGGGTGATGGGGCGCCAGCCATGGGCTGGGACTGTCCTCAAGTATGGTCAGAGGCTAAGCCCAGGGCTGGCTTTTGGGTGGATTGGTCATGTCAGGAAGGAGGTTTGCACCTGCTGCCAGAAGTGTGGACAGTGCAGGTGGGGTTGGGGGTAAAAGGGCAGATGGAGTTCTCCAGCTTGAGCAGAGTGAGCTGAAAGCTCCAGCTGAACATTAGCTAGCACACAGGAGTCCTGGGTTGATCCCTGCCCCTGCATACACTAGTTCTGACAGACCATGCCTATAATCTCAGCATTTGCAGGGGTGAGGGTGGGGGTGGGGTGGGGTGGGGGTGGGAGTAGAGATGGCCTATACCTATAATCCCAGGACTGAGGAGGTGGAGGGCAGGTGGATTGGGAATTCAAGACCAGATCCTAACACAGCAAGTTCAAGACCAGTCTAGGCTAATTGAGATCCTGTCTCAAAACAAACAAAAAAAACCACCATCACTGGGCAGAAGCCTCGCATGCCATTAATCCCAGCACTCAGGAGACAAAGGCAGGCATATCTCTGTGAGTTTGAGGCCAGCCTGGTCTACAAAGCTACACAGAGTAATCCTGCTTTGAAAAATCAAAAAATAAACAAACAAAACCTCACCACCACCAAAGGCAGTTTTCCCCATTGCTAAGCCTGCCTGTTTTTTTTTTTTTTTTTTTTTTTTTTTCTGTTTCTTTCCTTTTTAACTAAAAAGGGTAACTTTTCCAGCCCACCCCTTAATCCCAGCATTTGGAAGACAGAGACTGGTGGATCTCTGTGAGTTCTAAACCAGCCTAGTCTACACAGTGAATCCTAGGACAGTTCCCCTATGAAAGCGGAAGAGGGGAGGGGGAGTATGGGAAGAGGGAGGGAAGAGAAGGATGGGGATGGGGAGGGGAAGTTAGAGGAGGAGGAGGTGGAACTTTCCTCTCCCTGCTTTTTGTGTACCCATACAACCCATAAACATACTTGCTTGCCTTGACACTCCGGGATTCCTCACTGATTTGGTGAAGATGCCTGCTCGAGGATTCCTTTCTACAGCTGCCGCTAGACCACAGCTGACTCTAACTCAAAAGCCATGATTTCCTTCCTCCTTCTTCTCCAGCCCCCTCCTCCCCGCAGTTGCTAAGATTTACATGGCTTGTCTGCCCTGTTATTTTTCTCTCCAACGCTAATAAAACAGACCTGGAGCCACTTTCTGGAGACTTAAGAACTCACAAAAGGAAGCCCCGATTTTCCAATAACGTGCTTAATCCCACTTAGTTCTGCAGAAAGCCACTCAGGGCCACCGCGCCCTCTGCTACACAGCCACAGCGATAGAAAGACCCCAGCGAGAAACAGGAACTGCCATTCCCAAGGTTGGCACTCTATGGGAGCCCTGTGCATTCCTCCAGCTGCCCTCAGCCTCCTTGGCCTTGACCAAGTCCTTGTCCTGGCCCCACACCCTGCGGTATCCGAGCCCTGCCCCTTACCTGTTGGGCCACCCGAAGCCCCGCTTCACAGATACGGGCCACACACAGATCGTGAGGCCTGACACCCCCCCCCCCCCCCCGCTCGTGGAGAGCTGCTGGCTCGGCTGGGTTCCAACACCCAGCAGCGACTCACACCCTGCTGTGTGATCTGCTGTGATTCCCAGCTGCTCCTTTTCCCTGTTGACAAGCAATTCACCTAACAGGACCAATAAATATTACATCTCCCTGAATGAGGATTTGTGCACCTGACTGCTGCAGGCAAGGTGGATTAGCTCACCCTGAGCAAGTGGGAGATGGCTGGCATTGCGGGGTGGGGGTGGAGGGACAGGACAGGGACGGTTCTCGCAGGGAGCATCAAGTGGCTTTTCAAGAGGAGACACTGCTGTATGCAGATCTCCACAAAGCAAGTGTGACCCGACACCCAGACCTGGAGCAGAAATCACCCTGAGGTGCTGGGCCCTGGATTACTACCCCTCGGAGATTGCCCTGACCTGTGGAGGATCTAACTGAGGACATGGAGCTTGTGGAGACCAAGCCTGCTGGGGATGGAAACTTCCAGAAGTGGGCAGCTATGGTGGTGCCTTCTAGAGAAGAGCAGAGATACACATGCCATTTGCAGCAGGAGGGGCTGTGGAAACCCCTCACCCTAAGATGGGAGCCCCCTCCTTCGGCTCCCATCCGTACCCTGGGGATCACTGTCTGGTTCTCTTTGGAGTTTTGGGCCCTGGAGCTGTGGCCGCTGTCATGATGAACAAGAACATGGGTTTCTTACTAGACCTCCCAGGCTGGTTTAGAACTCGAAGTATAATCCTCGAGGGTTAAGCTTTGTTATCACACTGAACTCACACTCTCCCTGGAACCTGGGTATGTCTGTGAGGGTGTTCACACCAACTGGGAAGGAAGACCTATCTTGAATTTGGGTGGAAGCATCCCATCCGATGGGTGGGGGAGGAGAAAGCCTGATGAGTTCTAGCAGTCTTTACCCACTCGTGGTGAGGCAGGGAGCTGAGAATCCCACGACATGCCTTTTCTGCCATGAAGTCCACCAGGTCCTCTGTGCCCTCTGAAGTCACAAATCGAAATAAATTCCTATTAAGAAAAATGGAGAAACTGGAGGTGGTAGTACACAACTTTAATCCCAGCACTCTTGAGGCAGAGGCAGAGGCAGAGTTCGAGGCCAGCCTGGTCTACAGAGCTACACAGAGAAACCCTGTCTAGAAAGATCAAAAAAAAAAAAAAAAAAAAAAAAAAAAAAAGAGGGGTTGGGGGGGAGAAGGCTCAGCAGTTAAGAGGTTAAGAGCACCGGCTGCTCTTCCAGAGCACCCTGATTAATTTCCCAGCACCCACATGGCAGCTCACAACCGTCTGTAAATCCAATTCCAGGGAACCTGACATCCTCACAGCATATATGCAGGCAAAACACCAATGCACATAAAATAAAAATAAGCAAATTAAAAAAAAAAAAAAAGAAGAAGAAGCTGTGTCTCACACCTTTAATCCCAGCACTCTGGATGCAGAGGCAGGTGGTTCTTTGTGAGTTTGAGGCTAGCCTGGTCTTTAGAGCTAGTTCCAGGACAGGCTCAAATGCAATAGAGAAACCCTGTCTCGAAAAACCAAAATAAATAATAAATAAATAAACAAAATAAAAGACCGTGCATCCTAGAAAGATATTTAAGGAAATAAAACACCTTAAGGGGCCAGGCAGGCAACCATGTCACCCACCTTTAATCCCAGCACTCAGGAGGCAGAGGCAGGGAGGTCTCTGTGAGTTTGAGGACAGCCTGATCTACAGAATGAGTTCCAGGACAGCCAAGGGTACACACAAGAAACCCTGTCTCAAAAAACCCAAACCAACAAACAAAAGCACTTTAAGGGCACAGAGATGGCTCAGAGGTTAAGAGCACTGACTGCTCTTCCAGAGTTCAATTCCTAGCAACCACATGGTGGCTCACAAACATGCAGATAGAACATTGTATACATAATAAATAAATCTTAAAAAAAAAAAAAAAAGAAAGCACTTTAAGGCTACTGGAGAGATGGCTCAGCAGTTAAGAGCACTGGCTGCTCTTGAAGAGGACCCAGGTTCAAGTCCTAGCACCTAAGTGGCAGCTCACAAACAGCTGTAACTGCAATTCCAGGGAGGCCTCTGAATGCATGTGGTACACTGGTACACATTCACATACACACAGGCAAAGCACTCGTGTGTATGAGATAAATTTTAAAAGAAAAGAAAAACATTTAAGAGTACCCTTTCTCACTTCCCACCCTTGAACAGGACCCATGTGTTCAAGGAAAATCACTCTTACCAAAACATTAAGATTCATTTAACACACCAAAATATTTACTGGGAACACTGACAATGTGTTTTTCTTTTCTTTCTTTACCTTTGTTTTGTGTGTGTGTTTGTTTGTTTTGAGACAGGGTTCTCTGTGTAACAGCCCTGGAACTCACTTTGTAGATCAGGCTAGACTCAAGTTATAGAGATGTGCTTGTCTCTGCCTCCAGAGAGAGAGAAAGAGAGAGAAAGCTGGGATTAAAGGCATGTGGAACCACCATGGAGCTCAAGGATTTTTTTCCACCAAGAAAGGGTTTCTTTGTGTAGCCCTGGCTGGTCTGAAACTAGGATCTAGCTCTGTAGATCAGCCTGGCCACAGAGATCCCCTTGCCTCTGCCTCCCAAGTGTTGGGATTAAAGGCGTGTGCCACCCCCGCCCAGCCAATGATGTAATTTTTGACAGGGAAAACAACAACAAACCAACCCATATATAGCATGGTTCAGGAACCTAAAGAAGTTCAGAATTCAACTTTCAAAGTAACAAGTTGTTACAGGATCACCCAGAGCAAAACGAACGTCTTTGAGAAGTCCATGATCCAGTTTGTCGGCAGGCAGCCAGTTCCCGCTATGCCAAGCAACACAGGTAAAGGGTTAGCATCAGGCTAAGATAAATATATTTCACTTAATATGTGCTTTTCCTCGGTATTGGGAGCATACATTTGGACATTGAATGTATTGTTTAAGAATGAAGGTGCTGGAGAGGTGGGCTCAGTTGGTGAGAGGCTGGCTGTTCTTTCAGGGAACCTGAGTTGAGCCCCAGCTCCCACATTTTGGCTTTCATGTGATCTCTAAGGGGACCCCCACCCCATGCACACATAAGTAAAACACAAATTACTTATTTTTAGAATTAACTGCAAGAAGACAGGGGTAAACTCATTCATCTCTTTGTAAAACTATCCAATTGCTGCTTCATTGTATTAGTGTCGTGGAGCCACTGGTGAGGAAAACTAAGAACTTCAAATCAACTAAAATAGATAGCATTCATTTTTAAGTATTTTTTAGTTAATTTATTTATTTAGATTTTTCGAGACAGGCTTTTCCCTGTGTAGACCAGGCTGTCCTGGAACTAGCTCTGTAGACCAGGCTAACTCAACTCAGAGATTCCCCTGTCTCCCCGTCCTGAGTGCTGGGATAAAGGAGTGCGACACAACTGCCTGGCTTTTAAATTTTTATTTTATTTTTTATTGGACAGGGTCTCATAGCGTAGCCCTGGCCGACCTGGAATCCCTGTGTAGACCAAGTTGGCCCTGAATTCATAGATTCTCCTGCCCGTGTCTCCTGAGCACTGGGATTAAAGACCACTTTCCCAGGCCATGTCCATCTTTCCACAAAACTTTGTCTTCTCAGAGGCCGCAGAGATGGCTCAGTGGGTAAAGGGACTTGTGTAGTCTAGAGATTAGAAAGATGGCTCAGTGGTTCTACCTAGAGATGGTTTCCAGCATTCAACCAGGTGACTCAGCCATAATTCAAAAGAAAATGAATCTTAAAGAAGGAAACAAGAAACAGAAGGTTAAAAACAAAACAAAACAAACAAACAAAAAAACTGAGAAGGAAAAAGCCGGGCGGTGATGGCTCGCCTTTAATCCCAGCACTTGGGAGGCAGAGACAGGGGGCTTTCTGGGAGTCGAGTTAGCTTGGTCTACAGAGCGAGTGCCAGGACAGCCAGGGCTGTTACACAGAGAAACCCTGTCTCGAGAAAAAAGACTGAAAAATTAAGAAGGGGGGTTTCGATGCTCCCTTTGGTTGGGGAGGGCACGTGACCTCTACCGACAGCTTGTTGGAGCTTCTTCTGAGCGGTTAGGGCTGGACGACGAGGGGGTGTTGAGAGCCCCTGGGCAATGTAAAAACCCAAGTCCTGGCCTTCAGAGCCTGAGACCGAGGTTCCCTCCAGCCAGCCTTTTTAAAACAAAATTCATGTGTGTGAGCGTTTTACCTGCGTCTCTGCCTGTCTGTCTGGGCACTACTATGTGTGTGCCTGGTGCTCGTGCCGGCCAGAAGTAGGCATCGGATCCCCTGGAACTAGAGTTACAGGCAGCTGTGAGATGTATCTGGGTGCTGGAAATTGAACTTAGGTCTTGTGGAAGATCAGCCAGTGCTCTTAACCCCTGAGTTAACCCTCCAGCCCTTACAGCCATAACTTATATCCCTTCCTTCTTCCCTATTCTCGAAGCATTTGGGACTTCTTTATCCACATTTATTTATTGAGTTTCTCTGTGTAGGTTTGTAGACCAGGCTTGCCTCAAACTCACAGAGTTCCCAGTCTCTGCCTCCCAAGTGCTGGGATTAAAGGTGTGCTCCACCACTGCCCAGACCACATTTATTTTTTACAAATATTTTTTACAAAAAAGCACCCTTGAGTCTTTGACACTCTTGCTTAAAAGCTGTCTAAACACTTCCATGGCTTGACCCATACCCTGTTTCATAGAAAGGGAGGAGGAAATAAACACAATCACATCCTACACTCACACACTGCTACAAAGTCAATGGCTGTCTCTTAAACACTTCTGTTTCACAGGTCACAATCAGCCTCCTCAGCCTGAGGAGGGCAGCGCCCGCCAGAGCCAGCAGGAAGAAATCCAGACAGTGATCACGCAACTGAGACAAATTGGGGACAGAGTCCATCGCTGGGTGATTCAAGGGGTGAGACTTCACTGTACCCAGAAGGTTGGGGAGGGAGGGAGAGATAGCAATGGCTGCCAGGTGGCCAGAGTGCCCCAGGATGAGCTGAACTCCTGGATTAATGGTGTTTAAGTCATCAGACATTATACCTACAAAACCAGCATTTGGTCTCATACCTGTCCCCCACACTGGGGTCCAAGGATAGGCGGGCAGCTGATGTGTGATACTCAGCCTGTACCACCAACAGATAATTCTCCTTCCGTGTATTCTGCGGGGGGGGGGGGGGGTTGTGTAGCATTAGCATGAGAGGATGGCACACAGCCCAGTTTTACAGAGGCATTTCCCCACTGGGGTCTCCTCTTCCAGCAGCTGTCAGTGACACATTAAGGGAAACTAGGATGGGCTGAAGAGTGGTATTTGGAACCTTGAGGGTGATGAAGCCCACAGCAAGCATAGTATTCTTCCAGAAGCTCTGCTGGGGAAAATGACCATGGGGGTTCTGTGGTGGGGCGGGGGACCCTCTGCCAGCCCCCCCCAGTGAGTCTCTAGTGGCCCCAACCCCAGTTCTTGAAAAGATTATTTGGTCTACTGAAGTGTTCAGAATGAATTGGCTGTAGATTTGGAGGTTTGCTCCTGGCATTTCAGCCCTGTTCTATCCATGCCTCCATCCTTACTTCTGCCCTGGCTTTGCTTTGCTTGCATTTGGCTGTGACTTGCATAGGTGTCTATCCTGTATGACAGATTTGCTCCATGGAACTCTCCTGTTGCTTTGTTTGTTTGCTGTTTGGTCTTTTGAGACAGAGTTTAACTTCATAACTGAGGCCAGGACCATACTTTGTAGACCTGCCCTGTTTCTGTCTCCCACATACTGGGGCTACAGGGGTGTGCCACCATTATCTGGCTCTGTAGAACGTATTTTAAAAATAATGGAAAGACCAGGTGTGGTGGTGCAAGCCTTTAATCCCAGCGCTCCGGAGGCAGGGGCAGGCGGATCTGTGGACAGCATGGTTTAGAGTTCCTGAACAGCCAGGGCTACACACAGAGAGAAACCCTGTCTAAAAACAACAAACCTCCTAGGTTTGGTTTTAAAATGCTCAAGTCTCTGCTACTTCAATGTTTAAACAACTGCAACCATTTCAAACCTGGCTGATTGGCACATTTATTTGCCTCTGGTATTTATAAATCAAGTGGCCACATGACTATGGAGCTGTTGGGACAAAAAGGTTATTGACACTGCCCAGTAAGGGACTCACAAACCACTTTTTTTCCCCCAAATGATTGATGAACAGGGCTGTGGTGGTCTGCCTTTATCCCAGCAGTTGAGAGGCAGATTGGCAGAGCGCTGAGTTTGGGGCCAGCCTGGTCTACAGAGAGTTCCAGGACAGCCAGGGCTACACAGAGAGAAAACAGAGAAGGGGAAGAGAAGATGAGCTGACAGGTTCTTGAGCAGTTTTCTCACTTCCTTCTTTTTGCTTAAACGAGCGTATTCAAGTGTTTTGTGCTTAAAACAATGTTAATTTTGGGGTTCTGCTTATTTTATATAGTTATATAGTTTTGTCACTATGTCCCACTACCACTCCCAAATCTAAGCCATGTAATTTCTCCACATACAAAGTCTTAAGATATCACACTAAGAAGCCAGGTGTGTTGGCTCAGACCTGTAGTCCTAGAGTACTTAGAGGCAGAGGCAGAAAGATCAGAAGTTCAAGGCTATCCTCAGCTACACACAGAGTCTAGCCTGGGCTACTTGAGATCCAATCTCAAACAAAACACCAATAGCAGCAGACTCCAGCTTCTTAGCTTAGTGGAGACCTTTGTCCCTCTGTGGGTCCCTCCTGGGTGCTGGAAACTGTCCCTCTAGGAACAGGGGCTCTTTACTTAACCACTTTAGCCTGCTTGGGACATTGCGCTGTTCCCTGGGACCTGAGCTACATAGTAATCAACAGAGAGTTTGGAGTTTGCTTCCATTTGGTGAGATCCTCCCAGATTTCCCAGCAGCTGGGAGTTACTCCCATGCTCGTGTCAGGGGAGACATGTGAGTTCCAAGTGACACAGCCTGCCTAAGGCCACAAGCCGAGTGTGAGCGGCCAAACGGTGATGCAGAGACCAAGTGCTCTATGGTTTTTCTCACTGCCACACCGGAGAACATTCAAAAATTTTAAGTGATGTTAGCTTCAGAAAGGGCCAAAACCCTTTGTTTTTCAGCTTCTGTCCACGTTCCTTATCCTGTTGCTGGTGGCTTTCCATTAATTGATCTGGTCACTCGATCATTCCCTCTCCTATGCACTACTTAAACACAGCTACAGCCTTGATAGAAGAGACAAAAATGTGACCTCATGGAGGTTTCTGAAGGAATTAAATAGTAACTGAAGTGTGTACTTACCAGATAGTAGGAAGTGTCTGGGAGCAAAAGACAAAAGGAAAGGGAGACAGAACTTTAGGAGTAACACCTGCTGGGGGCCAAAGAGATGGCTCAGTGGTTAAGAACACTGACTGCTCTTCCAGAGGACCCAGCTTCAATTTCCAGCAACCACATGGCAGCTCACTGTTGGAATTACAGTTTTAAGTGATCTGCCGCCCTCTTCTGGCCTCAGTGGGAATTGCATACAAGTGCTGCACAGCGAGTCTGGCTTAAGGGAAAACAAAGTAGGAGCAGCAGCCATAACACTCAGGAGGCTGAGGTGGGAAGATCACATCCGACCTAGTATGGAGAGTGAGTTCCAGGGCAGCCATGGAGACACAGCGAGGCCCTGTCTCAAAAGACAAAATCAAACCCCAAATAAAAGCATATGTTCAGAGAAAGGTGGGTGATAGCAGCAGATCAAGAGGGATCTTGATGTCACCTGAAGGGCTTGTCCCTCTCCCCAAGCACACTGGGTGGGATTGAACCTAGGGTCTCAGAAATGCCAGGCAGGTGCTCTATGACCAAGCGGTATCCCTAGATCTTTTCTTTTTTTTCTATCTGGTCTTTCAACACAAGGTTCCTGTGTGCAGCCTGACTGTCTTGGAACTTGCTCTGTAGACCAGGCTGGCTTCAAACTCAGATCTACTGGTCTCTGCCTCCCAAATGCTGGTTTCCTGGCTCAGGGGGCTTGCTTGCTTCTCTGAGACCACCAGGAAGGGTTCTGGGATGCCCACCAGAAGCCAGAGGAATGGGGTATCATGCCTAAAGGGTGCCCCGATGACCAGGATGGGATAGTGCCCAAGGGTTGTGGTGGACATGAACTATGGGAGCCAATTTTGTCACCACAGTCACCATTTATATCTGGGCTGCATTGAATTCATGAATTAATATTTTGTAGTATGTCAAATTTGTAATTCATAACTTTTTGTTTACATTAGCCATGGGGGAGGGGCTCAGAAGGGAGAGAGAAACAGCAGAATGGAGGTGGAGCATAACTTGCAGGAGACTGTTCTCTCCTACCACCCTATGCTCCCAGGTTGCTAGGATTGATGGCAAGTTTTCACCTGCAGAGATATCTTGCCCACCCTGGATTAGCAACACTAAACATAAAACAAACTGTCTGTTGTTTACACAGCATTTTCTGCAAGAAGCCAGGGATGAGCTGGCTCCTTTCCTGGTGCTGGAGTTCTTGAGAGGTCACGTGCTGCTACGATTTTTCTGGAACTAAAGAACAAACAGACAAGCCCTGTCTTCTGGCTGCTTCCCAAAGGATCCTGCAGGAGTCTTGGTGCAGTGCCAGACCCTCTCCAGCCTGCCTTCCCCCACTGAATCCGGGTCTGTGCTGGTTTGCTGAACTGCCTTTGGATTTGATGTCCAGAGTTGACAGATAGATGGTGGGGACAGCCCCACCCCCACCCCAGGCCAACTGGTGATGAAACCTGAGTTGAAGGTCTGACCACACAGAGAGCATCACGAGTGTCCCCTTGGGTCATGCCCTCTGACCCTTTTGACCTTGCGGTTGTCACCTGTATCTAGAGCTTCAGAAGCAACTCCCCCTGGTCCTCCTGGGTCCCAGCTCTAATGTTGGTTTGTAATTACAAGTTCTGTGTATGCACAGTTTGGGGTTCTTAGTAGATGTCACTTAAAAAAATGGAATAAACTTTATTTTACTGAGCACACAGCCTCTACGTGTCTCCATAGCAGAGGAGGGATTCCAGGTGTTTCCACTTACAATGGCAGACATACTCATCTTTGACCTTCCAAAGGGAAATGTTCCCCATCTTGTTAATCTTTTGGGTTGACTAGATGGCTTAGCCAGCAAAAGGGCTTGCCAACAAGTCTGATGTCCTGAGTCCAATCCCATGGGCCCACACGAGGAGGGACCTGATCCCAGAAAGTTGTCTTCTGACCCACACATGTGCCCATACTGTATGTGCAGAGGCTACAATACAGTTAAAACATTTTGAAGACCTTTCATTCATGTGGTTTCAAAATCAAAACAACAGGAAAAGAATTATAATGAAAACCCTTATTTTTTTCCTAGATCCCCTTCTACAGAGAAATAGATATACATACTTATGTATATAACATACACACACGTACACACACACACTGTATTCCTCCCGGGGTAGTGGAGAGGAACTGGCTGAGATCCATAGCTACATGGACACTCTGTGTGCCCTCCTGTGTACTTTAAAAGTCTCTGAATTATGTAACAACTTGTTACATCCCAAATGCTACACCACTAGCTGGCACACTGGCTTAGGGAACAATGGCAGGGCAAGTCACTGCACAATTTCTTTTCTAAGCACTGTCCTTTTGGCTTTTAATTTTGTGTGTGTCCATGTGTATGTTTTGTGTGGTGTGCATGGTGTACCTGTGTGTACGAATGTGCATGTTTGTGTGTGAGTGGGTGTGCAGGCTCCTCTAGTGGAAGAGTTAGACTATCACAAGTCCTAGGCCTAAGACTAGCCTCCCTCAGGTTTGCTTGCTTCCGGAATGGCACCGTCACCCCAGTGGGAGCCAGCTCCAGGTTGAGTCCCCCATGTGCAGTGGACAGGGCTTGTGGAGTTTGCTGACTCAGGGCCCCAAGATGCTACTCTGAGAGACACTGAGT